GGCCGTTCAATGGGCTCGTTGGTCTCAATGTCTTCGTGTGTTGGTGGGCATGGCAATAGGGTGAACATTTTACTCATGAGGTTGCACGGTGTCCCGCAGCCGGTAATTGGAGGTCAGATTCGTATGTCCGACTCGCATCGTTTGTGCATGCACACGCGTGTCTGTCAGTCACCTCGATGTATAAGAGTCTCATGCTTGTAGCCGACATGGTCGCAATATCCATAGCTCCATAGCTCCATAGCTCCTCCTCCTCCTCGTCCTCCTCGTCCTTCCTCCTCCTCCTCCTCCTTCCTTTCCTCCTCCTACCCTCCTCCTCCTCCTCCTCGCCTCCTCCGCCTCCTCCTCCCCCCTCCTCCTCCTCCTCCTCATCCTCCTCCTCCTCCTCCTCCTATCCCCCCCTACCCCCTCAACACCCCCTCCCCCTCGCCTTCCCATAGTCCCCCTCCTTCTCCTCCTCCACCCTCCTCGCCTCGGCCCCGTCTTCGTCCTCTCCTCCTCCTCCTCGTCCTCCTCCTCCGCCTCCCCCTCCCCCTCGTCCCCCTCGTCCCCCTCGTCCCCCTCCCATGCCCGTGCTCGAAGGCCGCCTGCCGCACACGCTGCGCAAGCGGCGAGGACCGCCACCACGGCGCGGGCTGGCCGCGGGCGGCCCGCGGCCTGGGCCGCGCCGGGCGCCGCGCCGCCGAGGGCTCCACGTTGGGCCGCCGCGGGCCGCCGTCGTCGGCGGTGTCGGCGTCGGCGTCGGCGTCGGCGTCGTCGTCGTCGTCGTCGTCGTCGGCGTCGGCGTCGGCGTCGGCGTTGGTGTCGTCGTCGTCGTCGTCGTCGTCGTCGTCGTCGTCGTCGAAGTCGTCGTCGTCGTCGTCGTCGTCGTCGTCGTCGTCGTCGTCGTCGTCGTCGTCGTCACCGTCGTCGTCGTCGTCGTCGTCGTCGTCGTCGCCCCTCCTCATCATCGTCGTCATCGTCTCCTCTCGTCCTCCTGGGTTATTTCCGTCCTTGCCGTTCCTCCGCCCTCGCCACGCTACCTCCTACCTCTCGACTTTCGCCCTCTCCTCAGGGTCCTCGTCCTCGTGCTCGTCGAGCTCCTCCTCCTGTCGCTGCTCCTCTTTCTTCCTCAGGCCGTGTCTGGTCAAGCCGTGCGTGGGGTCCTTGTCCCCTTCCCCCTCCTCGCTCTGCTCCGGCGGCGGTCTCGACCGTCCAAATACTGCCCTGCTCCCTAACAGAGGGATTGACACCTACATGGGGAGCACAAGGACATACTAGTACTATGCGTCCTACAGTAGGAGCTCGACCACAAGAAACCTTCCACAAGAAACCCATCCCTGGAACCCCAGGTCCATTGATTTTTGGTGTGGGAACGTCACGGCTTCCATAGCAAAACCATCGAAACCCAAGAAGCCCAGGGCACCCTGGAGGCAAGCAGGGTGTTTCTTGGCATAGGTTTCCACTATAATACCCTGCTCCCTAACAGAGGGATTCACACATCCATGACTGGCGCAAGGACATGGTAGTACTATGCGTCCTACTTGGAGGCGTGCGTCCGACCCGAACATGTAGTACAACGATGTTGTAGTATATCGTTTCCCGAGCGGTATGGCCGGACAGCGCCCGCCACGGAGCTTATACAATCAGATTTCTCGGCGCGCGCGTCGCCCACGGGGGGGGCGCACACATAGCATTAGTCTGTTGGGGTGACGCCGACTCCAAGGGAGCGCGGTTCACAAAGCAAGTGCCCCCACTGCGGGTACTCCCCCCACCAAACAGGTCAGCCGACCTGTTGGCGCGTGTGAGGGCGATTTCTGGGCTGGTCGTCCCAGGGTGGTCCTGGGAGAAACCTTCCATTCGCAGCTTTTCCTCTCTTCCCCAGCATTTGGCTTCACAAACCTGCAAAACCAATGTGAATCGAGCCAGGTCGCAATCGAGGCCGCAAATGGCTCGAAAGAAAGCCCCTTCACTTTGATCCGCTCCCAGCTGGGGAGGGTCCCGGGGAACTCCAACACAGCCCAAGATGTCTCAAGACGGCCCAAGAAATCCCCACGACGCCCCAAGATGCTTCCAAGAGGATCCCCAAGAGAACCCCCAAGGCCCAAACCTGGGACTCCCCTTCTTGGCGTTTGACTGATGCTTGCAATCGTGCTTTTGCGGGCATCCGACCGCCCAACACGGTCTAACAGGCCCCCAGGTCCGCCTCAAAACAGCCTCAAAAAAAGCCCGAAGAGGGTCCAAAAACAGCCCAAGAGGGCCCAAGAAGCCGCAGGAGGCTCCCAAGGGGGGCTCCAGGGTCTGGAGGGAGCCCGAACTGCAGTGTCGAGCCGACCCTCTACGGAAAGCCTCCGCGACCGCCGGTAGGCCCCCCCCAAAGCAGATCAAGAACAAAAACGCGATAGCAATGAACTGTTGGCGCTCCGCGCGGATTTCTTGGATCTGCGCTGCTGGACCCCCCCGCCGGCGCCGGCAGGCCCCCAGAGGAGAAGAAGAACAAACCCCACAACATGAGCTTTTGGCGCGGAGCGCCAGAAAAACTATGTTGATGCCGTTTCTTCTTCTTCTTCTTCATCTTCTTCTTCTTCTTCTGCTTCTGCCTCTTCCTCTTCTGCCTCTTCCTCTTCTTCTTCTTTTTCTTCTTCTTCTTCCTCTTCGACTGAAAGAAGCCTCCGAGACCGCCGGCAGGTCCCCCTGGAGACCTCCACTGCGCCCCCAGGAGGCCCCACGGGCCTCCCGAGGAGGAGACGACTCCCACCAACAAGACCCCACCACCCTCCAACCGTGCAGCTGCCGAGACTGCCAAGCTTCGCTCCACGAGCATGGGATCACATGTCAGGCGGCAGGTCTGTGTCTGGAAACGTCCTCCCTTCCATCCTTGCGTCGTGAAGGTGGGAGGCGTCATCGTTTCGCCTCACAAGTTAAGCTTCGAGGAGACACAGCGCGAACACGCGGCTTGAAAACAATTCACACTCCGTACGTGTAGCAATTGAACAATTTCAATCGGCATGGCAATATTAATCGAATCCGCAAGCGATACGAAACATGAAAAGCGAACGGCTCTCCGTCCAGGCGGTCGTCGGGGAAGTTATGCACATCTACCAGCGTTGACTCCAGACGGACAAGGTGCAAGCTGGTGGTGTTGATGATTGCGATGCCCGTGTCTCACCGAGACTCACGGTGAGAGGCGGCAGTCCTTCAGCAGCTCGGACCTTGTGGGCCATTCAGAGCAACAAGAGTCTCAGACGGAACGCCCAGACCGCGCGGCCCAGACGCCTGGTGGTGCGACGAGGCAGACAGGTCTACGAAGGACGAGGATCGAGGATGCGGGCTTTCCGCAATCGATCCTGCCTCTCGCCGCCTCCCCCACTGCCTGGTCCCCCTCCGTCCCCCCCCCCTTCCCTCCACCCCTCGAGGAGGGGATCGACTACAGAATCGATCTACCCCAAAATTGGTGTTTTTGCCGATCCATGGAAAATATTACGTCCTCTTTGTAGATTCGACGAAGCAACTTTTTGGGGTAAATCAATTCTGTAGTCGATTCCCTACTCGGACCCCCTCCATGCCTCCATGCCCCGCCGCGTTCCTGACTCCCCTCGTTCCCCGCTCCCTCCCTCTCCCCATGCCTCCTGAAGAGAGGGAGAGAGAGAGAGAGAGAGAGAGATGAGGGAGGGGAGGAGGCATCGAATATGGGATCAACTGCAGAATTGATTACTCCAAGCATTGATTTCCTCGCCGAATATGCAAAAAAACACGTAGCATGTTCGTAGATCTACGGGACATGATACGTATTGTCAGTAGATTCGTCGAAAAAAACGGTTCTGGGATAAATCATTATGTAATCGATCCCTACGCGAAGGCAGGGGGAGGAGGCGAGGGACCCCTCCTCCCTCCCGTCCAACGGAGGGGCACCTCGCCAACGCCTACGCGCTCCGACTCCCGGATGAAGTTGCTCACGTCCAGGATGGAGCCCTGCACGCAAGTTGGGCTCCTCCTCCTCCCGCCTCCTCGCTCCTCCTCCCTCCTCCCTCCTCCTCCCTCGCTCCTCCCCAGAGGCCACCGCACCTTCCAGAACTCCGTCGGCTCTCCGAGCGCAGGTGCCCTGGGGCGCTCCCTCCTCCGGCTCCCCTCCTCCCCCCCATGCGAGGAGGGGCCCGCCCCCCACCGGCCCTCCCCGCGCCGCGGCTCGCCTCTCCCCCCCCCGCGTCGCGTGGAGCGGAGCTGACCGGCAGCCCGGAGCGGCCACCGCCGCGGCCCGGCCATCTGCGGAGGCACCGACAGGGCACAGATGAACTCAAATCAAACGAAGGGGAAGGGGGTGGAGGAGGAGAATGGAGGAGAATGGAGGAGGAGAATGGAGGAGGAGGAGGAGGAGGAGGAGGAGGAGGAGGAGGACATAGTCTAATGGCTTGGCCAGACTTGGGCCAAACGCTTGGCCGCATGGGCGCTTCCAAAAAGCAAGGGGTGGCGGTGGTTCGCGTCTGCGAGAGCATGTCGTGAAGGGGTCCGCATTGGCACTATGTGGGGAAGTGCCCATAGGAGACATCAAGTTCGGATTGGTGCAGTATGCTTGCTGTCTGCTGCGATCGAACTAATAGTGAAAACGTGAGACCCCCAGACCATGAAGCACCTCGTACCTGACCCGTTCATGCGAAGTGCAGAGCCAACGCTGAAAACGTCAAATATAACACTGGCATGTGACTCGTTGGGACAACCACTGGAAGCATCAAGCCTGGCAACACTTTTTTCCGCTCAGTATGACGACCCACGTCACGCTTGAAGGCAAAAGGTCATAATAAAAGGGTGAAACAACGCATTTGGCCTGTTGCGCTCCAGACCGCCCTACCTTGAAAACTGACCTGAGAAGAACGGGAAGCGACTGTTCGAACGCCTGTCGCTGATCGAACCACGCATGCGAACGTCAAAACTGGAACACTTGTTCCAACTATACACCCCCTCCCCCACCCGGCCGGCGGCCAATCCGGAACCATGCCAACCCCATGAGGGCCACCCCTCCACAATTTTTTCAAAAACAATACAAACCGCACTCTGCCTCCACATTTGGAGCATGCGCGGCCAACCCGATGCGACTCCCCCCCACCATCCCTGTCAAAAAACAAAACAAAGTACACTGTGGGGCAAAATCTTGAGCCATGTTCGTGAGGTCCGCGAGCACTTTGTTGTTGATAAGGACGGCGGAGGTGTCAGCATATTCCCTGTTGTGCGCAGGGCTGCCATCTCTGAAAAACGAAAACAAAACAAAATGCACCTCGCGGCTAAATCTGGATCATGCGCGGCCACCCCGCGATCACTGTCAAATTGTTTTTGACACGGACGGCGGGGGTGGTGGCGCGTGGCCTGCTGTGCGCAGGCCCGTCAGACACGGTGATGGGCATTGGTTTTCGACAAGCATAGTGTGGGCCGACATGTTTCCCGATGTGTGCTGTCACGTGCGCAGGCGCACCTGACGCACTCTGCACGAACGTGGCGCGCCTGGCGTGGCTCGAGTGTGCGGCACAACTGGCGCACTCGGAGCACGTGGCACATCTGGCGCACCAGGCACGCTCGGGCCCCAGGAGTGCCCGGCGCGCGTGGCGCCCGTGGCACGCGTGACGCACCTCGCCCACGCGTCGCGCCCCAGGGGTCGGCTTTGGTTCCCAGTAGCTGCCCATCCAAAGACGACCGCTGAACATGCTCAGGCTCGGGTGTTACTGTTGTGTTGGGAGGGCGGGTGGGAGTGAACTAGACGGCTTGCGGGCGGGCGGATAGCTTGTCCCCTCCCCCCATGCACCCTCCCCTGGACCTGGCTTGGGCGCCCCGCGAGTTGTCAGAGTGCACTTGTTCGCCCAAGATGGTTCAAAGAGGGCCTCAGAGAGCCCAAAGATTACCTCCAAGGTGGCTCAAGATAGCCCAGGATGCCTCGAGTCGGCTCCCAAGATGCTCCGAGAGAGAGGCCCCAAGAACGCTCCAAGAAGGCTCCAAGAGGCCTCCGAGACCTCCAAGGAGGCCTCCAAGAAGCCAAGTTCCTTCCAACACCTCAAGGAAATCAAGGTATTTGTTGTCTCGCCTTTTCGCGTCCGATGGCCATCCGAGGCCTCAAGACGTCTCAAAGATGGCCCGAGCGGTCCCCAGGAAAGACCCAAGAGAGCCCCGAGACTGCCCCAATAGCGCCCGAGAGCGCTCCAAGAGCGCCCCACAAGGCGACTGTTGGGGCTCCCAATGGGGGGGGGGAATTAGGGAAACCGTCTTTTTTGATCGATCTCCTCCAAGATGGCCCAAGAGCGCCCTTGAAGCTCCCAAGAGCGCCCCAAGATGGCCCCAAGAGGCGCCAAGATGGCCAAGAGGCGCCCAATAATCCTCAAAGAAGCTCCCGAGAGACCCCCAAGAGGCCTCAAGAAGATCTCCGAGGCACCCAAGATGCTCAAAGACTGCCCTGGGCTCGCCAAGATGCTCTTCTCCTCCTCCACCTCCTCCTCGTCCTCCTCCTCCTCCTCCTCGTTCCTCCTCCTCCTCGTTCCTCCTCCTCATCCTCCTCCTCCTCCTCCTCCTCCTCCTTGTCCACTGTCTCTTCCTTCCTCCTCTTCGCCCTCCTCCTTCTCCTCCTCATCCCCCTCCCTTCTCCTAGGCGCCGCTAGCATCAATGGCGGCCATACCGATGCGCATACTGTACATGCGTTTCGCTGTCACAGTTGCGCACATCTTTTCCCCCACACCCTGGAGTTTCCCCCACGGCATGTCATATCTCCGCCCTCTCAAGTTTGTGACGTACAATGTGTGCTCTCTCATCCAGCCAGGCAATTGTCAGGACATCTCACGGGAGCTCGGGATGAAGGATGCGGTGTTCATAACGGGTACGAGGCTGCGCAAGCGTGTGCATGATACGGCCTGCATTGGTGCATATGACGACCAAGCACCAAGAGGCCCCAAGATCGCCCCAAGATGGCCCAAGAGGCCTCCGAGATGGCCCTGTGACGCCCCAAGAAACTTCCAAGGCGGCCCCAAGAGGGCCTCAAGACGGCCCAAGAGGCCTCCAAGACGCCCAAGAAGAGCGTCCAAGCCCGTCCAAGGCCCCCCAAAAGCCTTCAAGACGGCTCAAGAAGCCTCCAAGAGGTCCTCCAGGAGGGCTGGAAGAGGCCAAAATCATTGGATGTCCTTTGGTTTTCGAAGGATATTGCACTTCGCTTCTTTTTCGGCCTTCCGACGGCCCAAGGGGTCCCCAAGACCGCCCCAAGATGGCCCCAAAGGCCTCCAAGTTGACCCCGTGACGCCCCAAGAGGCCTCCAAGACGCCCCAAGAGGGCCTCAAGACGGCCCAAGAAGCATTCAAGACGCCCAAGATGGCCTCCAAGGCTGCCCCGAAGCGGCCCGCGGGGCCACAAACCGGTTCGGAGACGCATCCCCGGACGGCTCCCGACAGGGTCAGACGGGCCAGGCACGCCCCAAGACGGCCCAGGAGGCCCTCGAGAAGCCCCACAAGGCCCCAGAAGGCTTTCAAGAGTCCTCAAGAAGGCCCGCAGGAAGCTCCCAGGAGGCCCCACGTGTCCTCCTTCTCCCCCTCCTCCTCCTCCTCTTCCTCCTCTTCCTCCTCTTCCTCCTCTCTCTGTCTGACGGCCCAAGATGCACTCAAGACGGCTCAAGATGGCTCCAATACGGCCCAATACGGCCCATGTGGTACCCAAGATTGCCCCAAGATCGCCCAAGAAGCCTTCAGGATGGCCCCAGAACGGCCCAAGAGGCTCCCAAGACGGCCCCCAAAGGATCCCAAGACGGCCGAAGAAGCCTCCAAGACGCCCAAGATGGCCGTCAAGACTGCCCTGAAGCGCCCCAAGAGGGCCCCATGACGATCCAAAGAGGCTCCGAAGACGGCTTCCGACGGCGTCAGACGGGCTAGGAAGGCCATAAGACGGCCAAAGAAGCTCCCAAGGAGCACCCAAAGGCCCCCAAGAGGCCCCCAAGAGGCCCCGAAGAGGCTCCCAAGAGGTCTCGTCATCCTTCTTCTAATCCTCTTTTTCCTCTCTCTCCTCATCTTCTCTTCCTCCCCCACGTGTTCCCCGAAGGGCTTCCACAACGGCTGGGGGAACGCATGGTCCAATAGCGTGCCCAAACCCTGCCCAAACGTTTGGCCACATAGGCGTATCCTAAAAGGCAGGGGGTGGCGGTGGTTCGCCATAGGCGCTTTCGATAATCCAAGAGGGGCCTGAAATCGCCCGAGCGCCCAGAGAGAGCTCCCAGAGGGCCGCCACAGCATTCCAAGCAAGCCCTCCACAGCATCACACCAGGAACCCTGGTGTGACACTGCGTGTTTCGGGAGCCCTCATGGGGCCCTCTTCGGCCTTTCAAAACCTCTTGGTGCCCGTAGGCGCCCCTCTTCAAGCCTTTTGGAACTCTCACAGAGCCTGGAAAGAGCTCCAGGAAGCCTCCAAGAGAGCCCCGAGAGAGCTCCAAGGGGGGTCGCAGACAGTCCCAACCAGTATCCCATCAAGGCACGGTGGCGGGATGGGCCGTGGGCAACCCAATCCAAGATGGGCCTGAAATCGCCCGAACGCCCCAACAGAGCCGCCCGAGGGCTCCTATATACTTCTCCAAGAGGCGACCAGGCTCGACTCCCACATGGTCAGGATGGCGCTGCACTGCCCCCCTATCGATCCTAGATGTTCTCAGGGACACGAAGATGACCCCAAGATACCCCAAGAAACACAAAGATACAGAGAAAGGAGGAGGATGAGGAGGAGGATGAGGAAGCAGGAGGAGGAGGAGGAGGGAGGAGGAGGAGGAGGACAATCTGACCTGAGATGGCCCCAATATGCCTCCAATACGGTCCCGGGTGGCGGCAAGAGGCCGCCGTGAAGCCCGAGGAGGCTCTCCGAGCCCCGGAAAGGCTCCCAAGAGGTTTCCTCCTCCTCCTCCGCCTCCTCCTCCTCCTGCTCCCCCCAATCCTCCTCCTCTTCATGCTCCTCCTCCTCCTCCGCCTCCACCGCCTCCTCCGCCTCCTCCGCCTCCTCCTCCTCCTTTTTCTTCTTCGTCTTCTTCGTCTTCTTCGTCTTCGACTTCTTCTTCCTCCTCCTCCTCCTCCTCCTCCGCCCCCTCCTCCTCCGCCTCCACCGCCTCCTCCGCCGCTCCTTCCGCCTTCTTCCTCCTCCGCCTCCTCCTCCGCCTCCTCCTCCTCCTTCCTCTCCTGGTTCCCCACCCTCCTCCTCCCCCAGCGGCTGCGAAAGTCATCGTCGTACGATTCTTGGGAACCTCATTGGCCTTCAGGGGAACTCTTCGGGGCGTCTGGTCCCAGACTTCCCGAACAACTCTGGCTGTCACCTTCATCATGGGGGTCTTCTTCCAGGGACGGCGGCACTGGCCGTATATTAGAAATTACGCTGGGACCTCGTCCCACGCACGGGTCATCAAGCGAAACTCGCCTCGGCAACTGAAAAGACGGGTGCGCTTTGAGACGAATCGGGCAGCACCTTAAACAGGGACGCGTAGTGAACGCAAGCCTCCGAGGGCATCGCTGCCTCAGTGTGGTCATCTTCTCCTAGTAATCCTCCGACAGCATAGCCAGAATATCCAAGATGCTTGACGTAAAAGTTCAGATACCAGTCTCCGTTCAGAGTGCGCCCATGGGCAACTTTAACCTGCACCTTCCCAAACTTTAGCCACTTCGGCTGCTCATCATGCACTCCCTGAGCTTTGAAATTGAGACCGCTAGACCCTGTCGCCTGCACCCACTCCCCTGTGACATTCAACTCTTGGAAATACATGTCTGCGCATTGTCCACCCACTTGACGCGCATCAGCCTCCACACGCAGCAATGCGTTCTTATGCCTTCCACGGGGGATGCTTATCAGGACATGCTTGCCCGGCTTCATCAAGTCGAACCGCTGGCCAAGAACATTTTGCAGATGGGGATCGCCTGTAGCAGCAACGCTTCCGCCGACTCCGCCCGCACTGGGCGTCGGGCTGGGCGTCGGGAACGGCGTTGGATACGCCGTCGGGTAGGGCGTCGGATAAGGCGTCGGGCTGGGCGTCGGGCTTGGCGTCGGGAAGGGCGTCGGAAAGGCCGTCGGGTAGGGCGTCGGATAAGGCGTCGGGCTGGGCGTCGGGCTTGGCGTCGGGAAGGGCGTCGGAAAGGCCGTCGGGTAGGGCGTCGGGTAGGGCGTCGGAGACGGAGTGCCAGCGCAACTCAGGAGTACGGATCCGATGTTATCGTTCCCAGTCGGCAAAGGGTGGCAATAAGCGCCTGGCGTGTACGTGTAATCTAGGTTCGCGTTAGTGATCATCGTGCAGGAGCCGCTGAGGACAAGAGACGATATCCCAGGCATGACGTTGATCCATGCGCCAACAGTGCTGTACGAAATGACGGTGCCAGTGTTGGAACCCTGGCACCCGTACCCAGACGACAGGTAGTGCTCGTACATAGACACTGTGCAAGAGCAGCCCACACTAGCAACCCCACCGTTGATTGTCTTCCAGGAGGCTGGTGCCAAGGCTTGGTTTGTCGAGTTTGCAGCTTCATAGCTGTCGGATGAGTCCTGACTCATGGATGTGATGCTCATCGCGGCGCCTCCAACTAACGACGACAAGAAAGATACTGTCATCAACCAAATACAAGTCGATTCCATTGCACCGGTACAGAGTCAGTGCGCTCAGACGTGCCGAGTGTTCAGTATGATGAATAGGATGTGTAGCTCTCGTTCGGCGATCGGTGGCTTCAGCCAGATTTGAGGCAGACTGGCTTCGGTGCAGCTGCTTCTAGCGCAGGGCGTGGCCCTGTCCCCGAACACTTCGCGCAGTGGGGCCACGTGGACAAGGGGGCCGTGAAGCGGGCGCGCAGAAGAGCGCTGACAGTTCCCAGTGGGGCTGCGATCCGCGCGAGGGGTTGTGCAGAAAATGGGCACGGGCCCGCATGCGAACGCGCCCACTTTGAGGCCAAGGTAGACCGTGGACCTCCTTGTGGGGCTGCGATCCGTGGGAGAGGTGTGCCGAGACGGGCGCGGGCCCGCACGCAGAAGCGCTAATTGGGGCGCAAGTCGACCCCCCCCCCAGGTGGGGCACGACTCGTGGGGTGTGTGAGCCGAGGCGGGCGGAAATCCGCATGCGAAAGCGCCTCCTCAGACCGTGGGTGGACCTCCGCGTGGGGCACGATGTGCATGCGGGGCGTGCCGAGATGGGCGCGGGCCCACATGCGCCCGCTGGGGCCGCGCGTGGATTTCCTTGCCACGATCTGCGTGAGGGGTGTGCCGGGATGGGCGCGGGCACGCACGCGTCTGCGACCACTGAGACCGAAGGTGGACCTGCCTGTGGGGCACGATGTGCGTGTGCGTGTGCGTGTGCGTGTGCGTGTGTGTGTGTGTGTGTGTGTTTGTGTGTGTGTGCGTGTGCGTGTGCGTGTCCGTGTGCGTGTGCGTGTGCGTATGCGCGTGCGCGTGCGCGTGCGCGTGTGCGTGTGCGTGTGCGAGTGCGTGTGCGCGTGCGCGTGCGCATGCGTGCGTCTTTGCCTTCTATTCGTTGTTGAGTTGTGCGTATAGAGTGCAATTTTACGTTATGTGCGTGGTTGCGTGTGCGTGTACGAGATGTGATGTGCGCGTCTGGTGCGTGTGCGTACTGGAAACGCGTGCGCGTCGGCGCGTGCGCGTGGGCGTGTGCGTGTGCGTGTGCTGCGTCGTGAGTGTTTTGCGAGTGGTATGTTTGTGCGTGTGCGTGTGCGTGTGCGTGTGCGTGTGTGTGCGCGTGTGCGTGCGCGTGCGCGTGTGCGTGTGCGCGTTGCGTTGTGCGTGGCGCGTGTGCGTGTGCGTGTGCGTGTGCGTGCGGCGTCGTGCGTGTGCGTGTGCGTGTGCGTATGTTGCGCGTGCCGTGCGCGTGCGCGTCGTTGCGCGTGTGGCGCGTGCGCGTGCGTGTGCGTGGGCGTGGGCTTGTGCTTGTGCGTGTGCGTGTGCGTGTGCGTGTGCGTGTGCGTGCGCGTGCGCGTGCGCGTGTGCGTGTGCGTGTGCGTGTGCGTGTGCGTGTGCGTGTGCGTGCGCGTGTGCGTGTGCGTGTGCGTGTACGAGATGTGCATGTGCGTGAGCGTGTGCGTGTGCGTGTTCGTGCGCGTGCGCGTCGTGTGCGTGTGCTGCCGTGTGTTTCTTGTGCGCGTTGCGCGTGCGCGTGTTGCGTGTGCGTGTGGTGTGCGTTTGCGTGCGAAGTGCGCGTGCGCGTAGCGCGAGCGTCGTGCGCGTGCGCGTGCGGTGCTCCCCGTGTGTGTGCGTGTGCGTAGTGCGTGTGCGTGTGCCGTGTGCGTTTGCGTGGTGCGTGTGTGCGTGTGCGTGTGTGATGTTGTGTGTGTGTGCGGGTTGTGTGTGTGTGTGTGCGCGTGCGCGTGGCGTATGGCCGTAGTTGCATGTGTCTGTGTGCGTGTTCGTGTGCTTGGGCTTGTGCGTGTGCGTGTGTGTGTGTGTGTCCGGTGTGTGTGTGTGCGCGTTGGCGTGCCTCGTGTTGCGTGCGCGTGTGCGTTGTTGCGTGTTGCGTGCCGTGTGCGCGTGTGGTGCGCGTGTGAGCGGGGAGTGCGTAGTGCGTGTGCAGTGTACGACTGTGCGTGCGCGTAGTGAGTTGTACGTGTTCGTGCGCTGTTGCGCGTTGCGCGTTGGCGCGTGGCGCGTTGTGCGTGCTTGCTGTGTCTGCGCGTAGTGCGTGTGCGTGTGCGTGCGCGTTGCGCCGTGCGCGTGGTGCGTGTGCGTGTTTGCGTGTGCGTCTGTGCGTGTTGCGTGTGGTGTGGTTGCGTGTTGCGCGTGCAGCGTGCGCGTGGGCGCGTGCGCGTGGGCGTACGCGGTTGTGCATTTTGGGGTGCGTGTGTGTGTGCGTGTGCGCTTTGCGCGCTTGTGTGCGCGTGCGCGTGCAGCGTGCGCGTGCGCGTGTGCGTGGGATTGTGCGTGTGCGTGTGTGTGTGTGTTGTGTTGTGTGTGTGTGCGCTGTGCGCGTGCAGCGTGCGCGTGTGCGTGTGTGCGTGTGTGCGTGTGTGCGTGCGCGTGCGCGTGCGCGTGTGCGTACGCGTGTGCATGTGCGTGTGCTTGTGCGTGTGCGTGTGCGTGTGCGCGTGCGTGTGCGTGTACATGTGCGTGTACGTGTACGTGTGCGTGTGCTTGTGCGCGTGTGCGTGTCAGTGTGCGCGTGCGCGTGCGCGTGCGTGTGCGTGTGCGTCTGCGCGTGCGTGTGGGAGTGTGGGCGTGTGGCTCTGTGTGTGCGTGCGTGCGAGCGTGCGCGCGGAAGGACCGGCGAGCGGGCGGGCGGGCGGGCGGGCGAGCGTGCGCGTGCGTGCATGCGTGCGTGCGTGGGTTGCGTGTGCGTGTGTGTACATGTGTGTGTGCGTGTGCGTGTGCGTGCGTGCGTGCTTGCGTGGGTGTGTGGGTGTGTATGTGCGTGCGTGCTTGCGTGCGTGCGTGCATGCGTACGTGTGGGTGCGTGCGTGCGTGCGTGCGTGCGTGTGCGTGTGGTTCCGTGTGCGTGTGCGTGTTCGCGTGCGTGTGCGTTGTGCGTGTGCGTGTGCGTGTGCTGTTGTGCGTGTGCGTGTGCGTTGTGCGTGTGCGTGTGCGTGTGCGTTGTGCGTGTGTGTGTGTGCGTTGTGTGTGTGCGTGCGTGCGTGCGTGCGTGCGTGCGTGCGTGGGTGTGTGGGTGTGTGGGTGTGTGGGTGTGTGCGTGCGTGCGTGCGGCGTGCGTGCGTCCGTGCGTGCGTGGGTGTGTGGGTGTGTGGGTGTGTGGGTGTGTGCGTGCGTGCGTGCGTGCGGGCGGGCGTGCGTGCGTGCGTGCGTGCGCGCGTGCGCGCGTGTGTGCGTGCGTGCGTGCGTGCGTGCGTGCGTGCGTGCGTGCGTGTGCGTGCCGAGATGGGCGCCAGGCCAGCCCGCGCCCGCGCCCACAAAGAATGTTCTTGGACTTTCGCATGGGGCCATGATCGGCGTGAGAGGGTATACCGACATGGACGCGCCGCGGCATGGGCGCTCCTCGACTGGGGCCGCAGGCGAAGCTCCCCGTGGGGGCACGGAGCGTGTGAGAGGTGTGTCAGCATGCGCCCGCGACCCCCTGGAGCGTGCTCCGAGGTCCCCTTGGGCGCACGAGGCGTTTTTTTTTTCACTGCAGCGCCCCCCGATGAGGCAACTTGGGGCGCCGCGGGCGGAGCCCCGAAGGGCACAGAGCGTGGGATCGGCGCGCGGCGCGCGGCGGCATGCGCCCGCGCCCGCCAAGGGCCGCAGAGCGAGCTCCCCGGGGGCGTGGGGCGCCGTGCGCCCGGGGCCGCAGGTGCAGCCGCCTGGTGCTCCAGGAGTCGCGCGGGGCAGGGAGAGGGAGAGGGGGGGAGGCGGAGACGCGCGGCGCTGTGGACTCCAGGTGAGGACCCTGGCACCACAAGAGGGCTGAGGAAGACGTGTCGTCTCGACTTACTCGAGCCGCCGAACGGCCTCGGGGTGGGAGGGGAGGAGGGGGGCAGCTCGGGTGCGCCGCACAGGGGGCCAGGACGAGAGGGGTTGGGTTAGCGCACCATTGCCCGAGGCATATGCGCGGACGACGGGGTGGGCAAGGGAGCGTACTGAAGAAAATGGGGGGACACGAGATCTGGGAGATCCTGTTGGGCTCTGCCATGGTCATGGTACCCCCTCCCAGTCCCCACCCTCTCTGGCGGCCGTTCAGGACAATCAGGACAACCAGGGAGAGCTCTCCACGTGGCGCGGCGGCAAGAAAGCACCCCGAGGCGAGAACCCCCAAGAGCCGACCAGCATCTCCATCAAGAGTCAACGAAAACGCCCTCCCTCCTCTTAGACGCCGCTGAGAAGGCAGGATCAACCATCAACGAACCGGTAAGTCCGCCGACCCCTTGGGGTTCATCGGCGTGTGAAATGTTTCCCCCTCCTCAAACCCATCCCCCAGAAGCCTGATCCTGTCGACTTGGAGGGGAGGGGTCCTCCGGGGACTGCTCGAACGCATCACGGGGGGGCAGAAGGCCTCAAAACAGGCCAAGAGGCCACCAAAAGGCCCTCTGGACGGTCCAAGAAAGCCACGAGCCGCCGAAAGATCGATCGAAAACGCCCACGCTGACCGCCAGACGGCCCAAGAAACCCCCAAGACGCCCCAAAAAGCCCTCAAGAGGCGTCCTAAGACGGCCTCAAAGAGCAAAAATCGCCCCATGTCCATTGGAACATCTGCATGTTCAGCACAGTCGCCTCTTCTGCGATCACAGCGTCCAAAGCAGCCCAAGAAGGGTCGCCTCAAGACGGCCCAAGAGGCCCCCACGAGGGCTCCCAGACTACCCAGAGCCCCAAGACCGCTCAAAAAAGCCCCCTGCGGCCAAGAGGACACCAGAAGGCCCTCTGGATGGTCCAAGAGGGCAACGAGCCGCCGAAAGATGGATCGAAAACACCAATGCTGGCCGCCAGACAGCCCAAGCGGCCCCAAAGACGCTCCAAGAGCAAACATCGCCCGATTTCCGTGGGAAAGCCTGCATGTTCAGCACATTCGCCTCTTCTGCGATCACAGCGTCCGAGACAGCCCAAGAAGCCTCCTGGGTCGCCCCAAGACGGCCCAAAAGGCCCCCAAGAGGGCTGTCCGGCGACCCGAGGGGGCCCCATGACCGCTCAAAAAGCATCCCCAAAACAGCGAAAAGGCAACTAAAAGGCCCTCTGGACGGTCCGAGAGGGCCACGAGCCGCCGAAAGATCGATCGAAAACGCCAACGCTGGCATCCAGAAGGCCCAGGAGGCCCCCAAGGCACCCCAAGAAGCCCTCAATAGGCACTAGGCACCCCAAGACGGCCTCAAAGAGCAACAATCGCCCCATCCCCAAAGG